TAAAAACAAGGAACTGTAGAAGGTCAAAGGAGCAAAGGAGGACCCCAAACATACCATGATGTAACTATAGAGGTATGCTTATAGGATCAAATGGTATAAATACAGTTGTAACAGGACAATAAAGGTAGAACCTGGCTATGCTGATCAACTGAACACTGCCTCCGTGTTCTTCCCTCTTCGCTGACTCTGTCCACGCCTTTGGGAACCCCTGGACCTGCTGGGGCTGGACCCCAACATTTATACCATTGAAACGTGAATACATTAATTCAATTGAACTTTGATTTACATTCATAGTGGGGATGTCTCTGTCTCCTTTCTGTCACTCAAGGGCCCAGGCTGAGACATGCCATTTTCACATGTGGCTTCCGAAGTCACTGTGGACATGGACATTCTGGCAGCTGACAAAGGCAGAGAAAATAGATTTGGCCTGTAGCTTGCAGCTTTCTGACCTTTGCTTGAAAATGTCAGCTTTAGAAGATCAGGAGTCTTACCTGTCTTGTTCACTCTATATCTTCTATGTGGTCAAACATTCTTGACCTTCTTGGAGAAAAAAAAATCTTCATATTGCACTTGAAATTTGCTAGAGGTGCTATTTATTTCAAGCAGGATGCAGAGAACAGAAACTTCACTAGGATCTGATAGTCTTGGTGAGTGCATTTAAGGTAAAATCAATTTCCTCTAACAAGTATACTTAACAGTCTAAGTGAACAAATAAAATTTCCTAAAATAAATGTTAACAAGTTTTGCTGTTATAAAAAATGTATGGTTAAAGTTTACAGTCCTGTGAAAGTAAATGAAATAACCCTGAGTATCTTAGAGAACTATCAACTTGCTTTTCAACACCCTGAGACTATTGGTAAAGAGAGATTTAATCCAGAGACAGGTATGTAGCCAAGACTTGTTGGATATTACTAGGCATTAAAAAAGGGTACGTAATATGAACAAAGGATTCTTTTGGCCAACTTTCCTACTAAAAACGACCACAAATACGGCAAGTATTATATTTAAGAAGTACCACCTTAAAAACATGTAAGAGTTGGTAAGAATGCTAGTCATTAGGAATGTTTACCAATATTTCAAGTTCTCCTCCTTCTGAGCAAATGGTAGCATTGTACTTCCCAGCCATCTTGAAATTAGTGCAGCCATGTGACTTGCTTTGAACAATAAAATAGGAGCGGAGCTAATTAAGGTCCATGTATGATTCACCATATCCCTTCCCACTTCCAAATGACCATGCTTCTGTCAACTGCATGGATCCCTGAGTTAGACAAATGTGGAGCACACCACCGGTCAACTTGACATGGAGATGTATATATCAAGAATATATCTCTGTTGTGGGAAGTCACTAATTTATGGGGCATTATACATATAATTGTATATTGTGATTAATGTATTAAGATTATAAGAAGTTACCAAATTAAATTATAAAGGGGTGTGTGAACTCAGAGGGCTTAAGCAGGAATAGAGAGCAGAAGAAATTTTTTTAAAATATATTTTATTGATTTTTTACAGAGAGGAAGGGAGAGGGGTAGAGAGTTAGAAACATCAATGAGTGAGAAACATCGAACAGCTGCCTCCTGCACACTCCCTACTGGGGATTTGACCGCAACCAAGGTACATGCCCTTGACCGGAATCGAACCTGGGACCCTTCAGTCCACAGGCCGACGCTCTATCCACTGAGCCAAACTGGTTAGGGCAAGAGCAGAAGAATTTGAACTTGGTTTTGATGCTCTTGTGGTGCTGGGAATAGAGGTCCAAGTTCATGACTGTCAAAGGAGGCCCCTGTCATGTTAAGCTGGGATCCTAAAGGGGCTACACATTAGAATTAGGCTGAATCAGAAGGAAGTCACTTGCAGCCCAGAGAACTTCAAAGGAAGTTAACTTCATTGATTATAGCCATAAAGGAATTCAAAACAAACAAACAAAATCAACAAAACTCGTCCTTGTGAAACTGAAATCAAAACCCCTATCTCTAATGGGTTTACAGTCCAAATTCATAGCACATCACCTGGTGGTACTATCCTGGAAATGCTTCCTTCGATGACTTACACAAGAAAACCCAAATTCTTTCCAGAGAAAGGCTCTTTTATCCTAGACCTAAAAGAACACCACAGTAATATTTCAAAAATAGTGATCAACAGACAATAAAATAAATTTTACTAAGTATACAAGGAAGCAAAGCACTATTAGCAAGAGCCAGCAATAAACAGGAGCAGAGAATCGCAAGGACTTCAGATATTAAAATGATCAAATTTTTCTAAAAGAGGCTCACTTTGTTCAAATAAATAAAAACAAAGTTGAAAGTAACCTCAGGAAAGAGGAAAATTATAAAACATTATCTAGAAGATTACAAAAAGAATCAAATAGAACATGGAAAAGTAGTTATCAATATTCACTACCTGAGAGACTTAAAAGCCAGTTAGACATAGGTAAAGGATATAGTTGGAAGGTAGGCCAGAAAAAGTTATATAGAATGAAACATAGGGATGAAATAATAGAAGACATGGAAGCAAGATTAAGAGACACGAAGGATAGAGCAAGAAGTTCTAAAACACTTAATCAGGGTGCTAGAAGGGAGTAGAGTGGATGGGGCAGAGGCAATATTTATTTAGGCAATGGTTGAGAATTTTTTCAAAGCTGATGAAAAACACCAGTTCACAGATTTGGAATTGTGATTCCGAAGAAGACTAAACAAAAAGAAATCCCAATCAAACTCTCCTTAGTGAAACTACATACAGTTTTTGCCTACAAGAATAAGTCCTAAAAGTAGAAAAAAAGGTAGTTTACCTTCAAAGGAGCAATAGGTAGAACTCCACCTGAACGCTCAAGAAGCTGGGAGACAGGGAAGTGATATCGCCAATGTGCTGAGAGAAAATAAATGGCAACTTTTATACTAAAACCTGTAGCATTCTCATTTTAAAAAATTTAAAAATGAGAATAAATTGATATTTTTCAGGCAAACCAACACAGAGAGAGCTCGCCAAAATTAGTTCTGATTAGAATGAAATTTTAAAGGAAGTCCTCTAAGTAGACAGAAAATCATAACAGATGCAAGTCTGAGGTACAAGATTAAAGAAAGAGCTAAGAAATAGTAGATATGCGGGCAATTTGAAATGGACATGGGCTGCATAAAACATTAATGATTTGTGGGATTTTAAAAACAGAATGAAAAAAACATAACAATGTGTGAAGTATTAGTGCTGTAAATGAAGTAAAGTCCTCCAATGTTCCATGTGATCTGATCTGAAAGGAAGGTAACAGCTTTGATTAACTCTAAAGGTTCATTACATATGCATGTTTTAATTTCCAGGGTGACCACTAAAAGAATAGAAACTCCCAAACTAATAGAACAAAATGAAATTACAACAAAAAGAATCAATCCAAAAGAAGACAAGAAAGAAGCAAAAGGAAATATAGAATAGGTGGAACAAATAGAAAGTAAAAAATACACTGTTTAATTTAAATCCAAATATATTAGTAATTATATTAAATGTAAATGTATTAAATATCTCACTAAAAATTAAAAACTGAGAAATTAGAAGATTAATCTTGCTTATATGAAGACTAGAGGCCCGGTGAACAAAAATTTGTGCACTCAGTGGGGGAGGGGGGTCCCTCAGCCCGGCCTGTGCCCTCTCGCAGTCTGGGACCCCTCGGGAGATAACGACCTGCTGGCTTAGGCCTGCTCCCGGGTGGCAGAGGGCAGGCCCAATCCCTAGGTGCAGCCCCTGTCGGGCTCAGAGCAGGGCCTATAGGGGAGTTGGGGTAACGCCCCCTGTCATGCACAGAGCAGGGCAGATTAGGAGGTTGCAATGCCACCCTCAGTCACGCTCAGGGTAGGGCCGATTGGGGGGTTGGGGCACCGCC